ATTTAATTTCCACTTATTGTCATCCTAATACTACTAGACTAGTTTGCGCCAATTCTTCAAAATGTTGCTCGCCCTTTGACCACAGTTTCCTCATTATTTTTATCTTCTCCAACTACTTTGGCATCATCTCCCATGTTATCTTCAACTTTCATTCTAACAATAACACCCAGTTCTGTCTCCTCAATAATCAATCCAGCTACTTCATTTCCATTATCAATCTCATTAACTTCTGATATAACTTTAATCTCATTATCACTTCCTTCAACAACTTCAGTTCCCACACATGCATGCCATCCCCAGACTAATACCACTGATCGTGGTCAGTTTGATTGGCCACTAACACTACCTGGAATGACTGTTACCATATTGTGTCCTAATGGCCCTAATGGAGCTACAGCAAGTAGAATATGCTCTGCTTCTTCTGATTGGGAGTCACCAGATGTGATGATGTGTGCTACTACTGATGTTACAAATGGATTCATTGAACTATCTAAAGTGGGTAATATAATATAGTATAATATGATTGTAGTTTGATGTAAATACCTCATTTCATATGTTTCAGGTAAACATTACAGTTGATAATTTTCATTCAGCAGCCTTCAATATGAGCAGTTTAGTAGAAAATGCAACACGTACTCTTGCTGACCAAAACATTGAAAACATCAATGTAATATCAACAGTATTGGAAGCGATAATATCTGTTCTGTTAAAAAGCAAAAGTGCTCAATTAATAATTGAAGTAAGTTTATAGATTGATACTTAGAGTGATTTTGTATGTCGTATAGACAACAAGGTATTTTGTACTTATGCTCAATTCATTAATGGAATGGCCCATAGGTGTAACTAATGTTTTAATCAATAAGTGAGTTGATAAGTTAAAATGATTTATAATGCAATTAATTTTTAGTATAATCCAGTCATTTGAAGAATTCATACAGGTTGTATTTGAACAGAAAAATTTTACAGTGATTAAAATTGCTGAAGAAAACATTTTGTTTAGAGCAGAAAGAGTAAGACTAGTACATTTGCTATTTATAATAATTGATTATAATGAAAATAGTTTGCAAAAACTAATTTTAGTGGATTAACCATATTAGCCAGTGCTTTTAGTAAGTATTTGTGCTAACACAAAATCATAGATAAAAATTATTATATTGATAGATAATGGACTAAATTTTAGTACTTCTGACAATTTGAGTTCGTTGACATCTTTTGCAAAGGTGATTTTACCAAAGAACATTAAAAATGTCACAAACAGTGAGAACATTGATGTAGTATCAACTTTATACAAGAAAGCAACCTTCTTTCCAGTTCATGAAGAAGTGAACTCTTCATCATCAGTAATGACAGTGGTAGGCTCAGCTGTTATCAGTATAATAGTTGGTGGGATACCTGATGGTACTGAACTGATTGATCCAGTTAAAATCATTTTAGCATTAAATAAAGAAGTAAGACTATCACTGATAAGGTATGCTTACTATGCTATAAATTATTATTTGCAGAATGTTACAAATCCTCGTTGTGCTTTCTGGAACTTTACTGGAGCAGGTAATTAATGATATCAGTGTGATTTTATGGTTTGATTTTGTTACTTCATTCAGATGGTATTGGTAATTGGTCTATTGATGGTTGTACTACAGTAGTTGATCCTAATGATCTCAGCAATGTCAGTTGTTACTGTGATCACTTAACCAACTTTGCCATTCTTGTTGTGAGTTTTCATTATAGATCTAATGCTATTCAATGCTCATCAATAATTCTGTTAGGACATATCTACTAGGACTGCCAATGGTACTTCTCCTCCATTTGGTGTTAGAGTTGGATTGGAAGTGATCACTTATGTTGGAGTGTGTCTCTCATTAGTTGGACTAATCTTAACAATCCTAACATTGCTGGTATTCAAGTATGTGTACACATCAGTCCTAATTGATATTTAAATGTATCTTTAACAATAGAAAATTAAGAAAGAAAGATTCCAGCAAGTTTCACATTCAGCTATGTCTCTCATTGTGCTTTGTGCTGATTATATTTGTCACTGGAATTAGTAGAACATCAGTGAGGCCACTTTGTATCAGCATAGGAGCTCTTATACATTACTTCACTCTTGTTTTCTGGATGTGGATGGGAGCAGAAGCTGTGCTGATGTTTCAAAAAATAGTAATAGTGTTTACAAACATAACTTGGCGGTATATATTAATAGTGTCTATTGTTTGTTGGAGTAAGTAATGATAGTAATGGATACAATAATAAGGCTTTATATTTAGCTATACCTGTTGTTCCAGTTATGATCTTATTGGCAGTTGATAACGGCTACTACGTTACAAGTACAAAAAATTCAGAATTGTGAGTGCTTAATAATCTTAGACAATTAGTTATTCCCAAAATAGTTGCTTCATTGGTAAAATGGTACCATTGCTGGCAGCGTTCTTGTCACCCATTTTCCTCATCATCATCATTAATACAATTGTGTTCACACTTGTTATTCGAACTACTCTTAAAAATGCCATTGATAGAAAGAAGCGGATGAGCAATTCCTCTCTCTCTGTATCAGAAGTACTAAAGATGTTACTGTCTTTTACTGGTATTATGATCCTCTTTGGTTTAACTTGGATATCTGCTGCCTTCACTTTCATATCTGAGCCTAGTGTATCTTATACAGTCCAGTTTATATTTGCATTTTGTAATGCATTTCAAGGATTTTTCATTTTTATATTTTTTATTTTGCTCAATAAGGAATATAGGAAACTCTGGAAGGCTCATTTTGTTCAGTGTTTCCCTAAGGCTACTATTCACAGTGACTACAAGTCTGGACACAGTACCAAGAGCAAGTCAAAAAATGAAAATAATTATGCTATTTCAAGTCATGTATCTCTTAATGATACAAACAAAGAGGAGATGAAAGATACTTCACTGTAAACAGAAAGATTTTTATTATTAATAGTAGCTTGATATAATAGGCAGTTGAGTTTATTTAGTGTGTGCTTTTTTATTTGCCTTACCGTATTAGCTGACAGTTCATTATTATTAATTATGATGAGAGGAATGTGAATATGAATCTCAATCATCTCATCTTCTTTTATGAGCTCCTGGAGACATGTGTTGTGCAAGAAATTTGTGTAATTCTGGTCGTGGAAATATAAGCTTGAGTTATTACAGCAATAACAATAATAATACCAGTATTGCTGGTCAATATTCTTTGTTCTTACACAATTAAAAGTAAAATCAGTAGAAAAATGGAATCTAAAAAACACTTAAGAATGTATGTTATGCAGGGTTTCCCACAAAGCATTCTAAGTGAGCTAAACAAAACACTACAATACAGTATGTGACATTTGGAGCAACTTTAAAATTCATTTTTAAAATCCAAATTAAAAAAACTATATTAACAATACTTATCATTTACCTTGCCATACATTGTCTTTAACTTGGAAGATAAAGTGAGTGAGAAAGTCTCAGTTGGTCTTGATTAGCTGCAGCACTTACTGTTAATGTTACCCACGTGCTTTCACGTGGTCCATTAAATCATTAATGGGCGGAGATTCAAAAATGGCCGCTCTTTTAAACAGACTTTCTAGCAAGAAAGAAGTGGACCGTGTCATAAAAAGCACTGAAGATAAAGTCCTTGTATTGAGATTTGGGAAGGAAAGTGATTCAACGTGTCTCAAACTAGACGACATTGTTAGTTGAACACTAAACCTTGTATCTAACCACAGAAATATCGGAATTTTAAAATAAAAAAATGTATCATGTTGTTTAATTGTTTATCCTTAGCTAGCTAAGAATCAGGAGTTAGTATCGAACATGGCAGTGATATATACAGTGGACAGTGAGTCTGTACCAGTATATATGCAGTATTTTGATATTGTAATGATACCGTCTACCGTGTTCTTCTTCAATGGACAACATATGAAAGTTGATTGGGGGTAAGACTGACTATATTTGTAAATCTTTATTAATTTAAGAAGTAATTGTTAGAATTTTACTGGAAGCTTCTCTATTCCTAAACCTATGATTAGTATATGTATTTTATGTGTATATACATGTATAATGCATGTAAAAATTCTCTCTGAGTAATTTTTGGTGAACTATACTAATGCATGTAGTACAGGGACATTGGACTAATTTTTGAGTAACTTTAAAAATTTGTAAAAAATCCAATTTTGATCGGAATCAACTCAAACTTGCTACAATACATAAGAACATGTATATGTATCAGGAAAAAATATAAAAATGGAAAATTCTCTCCTTTTCATTTTTGGGGAAATTTGACCTGTGACCCTGTACTATAGTACAGGGACGTTGACCTGATTTTTGAGTAACTTTTAAAATTCGTAAAAAATCTAATTTGATTGGAATCAACTCAAACTTGCTACACAACATAAGAACATGTATATGTATCAGGAAAAAAATATAAAAATGGAAATTCTCCCCTTTTCATTTTTGGTGAAATTTGACCTGCGACCCTGTACTATAGTACAGGGACGTTGACCTGATTCTTGAGTAACTTTAAAAATTCATTAAAAAATCCAATTTTGATTGAAATCAACTCAAACTTGCTACGCAACATAAGAACATGTATATGTATCAGGAAAAAATATAAAAATCGAAAATTCTCTCCTTTTCATTTTTGGCAAAATTTGACCTGTGGCCCTGTACTATATATAGTACAGGGACGTTGACCTGATTTTTGAGCAACTTTAAAAATTCGTAAAAAATCCAATTTTGATTGGAATCAAACTCAAACTTGGTACACAGCATAAGAACATGTATATGTATCAGGAAAAAATATAAAAATGGAAAATTCTCTCCTTTTCATTTTTGGCAAAATTTGACCTGTGGCCCTGTACTATATATAGTACAGGGACGTTGACCTGATTTTTGAGTAACTTTAAAAATTTGTAAAAAATCTAATTTTGATTGGAATCAACTCAAACTTGCTACACAACATAAGAACATGTATATATATCAAGAAAAATATAAAAATGGAGAATTCAATCTCTTATTCATTTTTGATGAAATTTAAGAGACGTTAGCTTGATTTTTGATTAACTTTTAAAAATTTGTGAAAAATCCTAATTTTAATGGAATTAGTTCATAATAGAAAAGAATTTATTTTTATTACATTTTCTGATGCAAATACATGTACATGTACATGTCCTATGGAAATTAAGTTTGTGAGCTGATTAGTGATTACATTTCCTGATGCATATATCCACATGTACATGTTCTTATAGTTTATTCAAAAATTAAAAGTATAATCTCTAAAATAATAATGCTATTAAATATGCCTCTTTTGGACAAAATTATGCCATCTATTAATTCAACAGAACTGCTGATCACACCAAGTTTGTTGGTGCCTTCAAGAATTCTCAGGATTTCATTGACGTGGTTGAAGTGATATACAGAGGAGCCATGAAGGGTAAATTCATAGTAACGAGTCCACTGGATCGGAGGAATGTACAACAATTTAACTTAATATACAATGACATATGAAGAGAATTGAGACACTTGACACAAAAATAATAACAACAACAATAATAATAATAATAATGATTAATAGTAATACTTACAATGAAACAAACAATTATTGACAATAATATAGACATTGATACTGAATAACAACGATAATGATAATAATAATAATAACAGAAAAGTTAACAAATTTTTTAATATCACAACTACTTTTTGATCACAAATGTTGTATGTGTGTACGTGTGCGTGTGTGGATCAGTTCATTAATAGTTATTAAACTAGTGACTTATGCGCTATTCTTACTGGTTGCTGGTCTCTTATGTGATAAATGAATACTGTATTGGATTTCTCATATCTGTGGAGAGGTGCATGGTGGATGCTATTAGCAGACGCCATATTGGGCGGAGTCAGGGATCGTAGAGTAGAACTGGGCGTTGGCTCGTCTATACCATTATTGAGGGAGACAAGGCTACGAGGA